CTGATCACATCCGTTTCGATAATTCCCATAATCATTAGCATGTTACGACATGCTTCGATGCAGTGTGTACTACATATAGCACTCCTCATAATAGAGCCCGGACACTACGCAAGGAGAGCTAAGAAATAAATCGGCTAACCACAAATTGACTACTAGGAAGCGCTGGGGGTTGTTGTTAAAGGTGCTTGCCGTATTAGTGGTTAAGGATTTTGGTCGAACCGAAACGTTCGTTCGGCTGTTTGCGTCTCTTTACATCTCCCACATCATTCAGCTTCCTAGATAAATAAAGTTTTTTGTTTAGTTATGTCATTTCATGGCACTCTTCCGAATAACGGTCCCAAATTATACTCTCATGTCACGCAGTTACGTTGGTATCAGAGATTTGTCATTATCCACTAGCTCAGTCTCTACAGTGTTGATGGTATCTGCTCCATCTATGCTTCTTGGTTCATTGCTTGCGAGTTGGTTAATTCATTACCCTTTATGCTGGTGTGGCCAAGAGTATAAATCCAGGCGATAGAGTAACCTCCAATTTCCGAATGCTTCAAGCTTATATCACAAAAAGTTAGTTATATTTTAAAATATCAAATATTTGAGTCCAAAGGAATAGAGAGAAAAAAATAACGCCATAGGACAGCAAGAAGTAAAAACAAAACTTTTTATATAATGAATAAGCGTAACAGCTATCTCCAGTAGTTGAGAGAAAGAAATGAGCAATGCCTTGAAACTAGCCAGTGAACATATGGTAATTTGCATAGTACCCAAAGAGGTAATCGTCGGCGTATAAACTGTCCAGGACTTAGTGCTTAAACCTATTCTACCTACACACTGTCTAGGACTTTGTGCTTAAACCTGATCTACCTACAAACTGTCCAGAACTTAGTGCTTGAACCTGATCTACCTACAAACTTTCCATGACTTAGTGCTTAAACCTGTTCTACCTACAAACTGTCCATGACTTAGTGCTTAAACCTGATCTACCTACAAACTGTCCAGGACTGTTACAAACTTTCCATGACTTAGTGCTTTAACCTGATCTACCTACAAACGGTCCATGACTTAGTGCTTAAACCTGATCTACCTACAAACGGTCCATGACTTAGTGGTTAAACCTGATCTACCTACAAACTGTCCATGACTTAGTGCTTAAACCTGATCTACCTACAAACTGTCCAGGACTTAGTGCTTAAACCTGATCTACCTACAAACTTTCCATGACTTAGTGCTTAAACCTGATCTACCTACAAACGGTCCATGACTTAGTGCTTAAACCTGATCTACCTACAAACGGTCCATGACTTAGTGGTTAAACCTGATCTACCTACAAACTGTCTATGATTTAGTGCTTAAACCTGTTCTACCTTTAAGCTATCTATGATTTAGTGCTTAAACCTGTTCTATCTACAAACTACCCATGACTTGGTGCTTATAGCTGTTCTACCTACAAACTATCCATGGCTTGGTGCTTTAACCTGTTCTACCTGCAAGCTGTCTATGACTTATTGCTTAAACCTCTTCTAAATACAGCCTACAAACTGTCGGGGATTCAGTGCGTTGGCTTATCAGTACAGTGGAATAGATCTTCAGAGGACTGCAGGTTACTGGTACAGCCAAAATGAATGCCCTAATTATAACTTATGTGAAAGCTGGACGGGGTATCTTGGATCTGCCTTGTTGGTCCGCGATCCAGATCAAGATTTCTAAATGTCAAAATGGTATGGTAAACCTTTGGGTAGCTTTGAGGATCCTTTGGGGACAAACTGATTGATCAGTTGACCAGTGATACCAGTTCGAGTATGATCCTAAGGGTATCCTCTGTAGAGGTATGCCTGTGCTATGATACAAGGCAGGCAGGACATTAATGATACAGATATTGAGGGGGATTTGTGGGACTAGAACACTATGGACCATGTTGCATATGTGGAGTGGGAATTGTGATAAAGGAGAAAATGATTGCAGATATATTAACAGAGATTGTCTGAGAAGAATCGTGTTTTACAAAGTCCAACAGTTAAGTAATGAGACTAATTCCATAAAAATTAAATTAATCAACAGTTGAAGATATAACTTGTATCTGATTTAATGTAAGCCTCTTGTGCATTGATACAGCAAGTGGCACGATCTAACAAACACTGGAACGACCTCTGTTTCAAAGGGCACTTTATTTGAGTTTTAAATATAATTTAAAATTGACTTTTTGCTCCGGTTTATTACGTAACAACGCACCTCAGACTGGGTCAAAAAATGGCGGCTTGTTTGTTGTCTGCTTATCGAGCAGCAATAAAAAGTTGCCAGATCATAGATGAATGTTGCCTCCTTAGATTCCATGTTTTGCTTCTTAGATGGCATTTTTGTCTTGGCCATAATAAAATCAGTCTCATTACTTAATTGTCGGACCTTGTATACACGAGATGGCAGCAATGGTGCTGACTTCTCATTGTAAAACATTTTCTCAAAGCTGGCAGGTTTTGCTGGTCCACATTCGACACTCACCATCGCCACTCACCATCGACACTCACCATCGACACTCACCATCGCCACTCACCATCGCCACTCACCATCGACACTCACCATCGCCACTCACCATCGCCATAGACTGTGGTTCCCATGTGTCTATAGCAGAGTATAACACTGCCATGTGGAAAGCTGCCAACTGTGCGTTTCTTCAAATCTAACTCCTGTGAGTTCTTTATCAAACTCCTGATGATATTTTTCCTTGTTATCCACTTCCCTATGTGGGTTGTGAGGTCCCATTGTGGGGAAAACAAGAATAGACCCACTATCTCCTCAACAAGCATGTCATAAGAGTCAAGTCATTTGGGAGGGGGGGCAGCTTTCTTTTAAAGCTGGAGTGCATCTGCCTGAGAGGCAAGGAATCAACAGCCTGCATACACATAAGCCAGATCTATAAAACGGATATGCACATGACAATCAGGTTTTGGAACAAGACTAAAATACTGAGGTGGATGAACAACAGGAACTTTCCACTAGATTTTACCGCCGGTGAACACACAGATGTAGTAAATTTCTCTCGACCTGCCAGCAGTGGCATGATGGTGTCGCTTTTCTCACCAGCACTGCTCTAGGCTCAGCGTCTGTGGCTTAGGTGTTGCGAACGAACGTGCTTTGTAATGCAGGGGTGCACGGTTCGATCCCAGCAGCAGACGATCTTGCATTGGTTTCGACAGTGTTACTGAGAGCTGAGCATTGAGAAAGCCGTGACAAACTATGAAACACATAAAATTTGCCTAGAAAAACCGCAACAGCCAAATAATGTTGAGGTTGGCTCTGCAGTGTCCTGTAAAGGATAAGCTACCAACTTGTCTTTATTGTGGTTGGAACAGAGCAGGTTCCATATGTATTCTCAGCATACAGTTGACTGGTTTTTTTTTTTTTAGAGGCAGTTATTCCAAAGCATTCTTGTAGAATTCTGACACAATGACCTCCATGTCGATAGGTGCACAGTGGGAAACGACGCCCTCTTCGTCAATGGGACCACAGAAAATGTTGGCGACACCACCGTTTGGTTTATACTACTTGTCAGGGCTGCCAATAGGATTTAAAAAAAAAAAAAACCCCGGTTTAGCTGATCAAAAACCCAAGAATTACATAGACAAAGAACCCCCCCCCCCCCCAGATTGTTAAAATGTACAAAATTTATATTTACGAAACGAAACATTTACCACTGGGATTTCCCCAGGCGTCAAATAAAAACAGATCGCGGGGGGGGGGGGAACCCAGCATTGGTAGCCCTGCTACTTATACCATTTATATCGTCAGCTTTCTGTCACGACCACCTTCACGGGGATTGGGCAGATTCTTTCTGTTAACCCTCATTAATGATTCTGCCGGGTCACCTTAGTCTCCCGTCCGGCTCTTGATTTCCGCTTTAGCCGAGATCAGGTATTTCCTAATTATTTCTTCCGTAATGGTCACCGACCTTTGACACTAGGTCAAAAATTGAGAGGTCATGGGTCGTTTGTATGTTTAAAACCCAAACCTCTACTGCTATTTAAAGATGTGTGCACGTGAAACATGCAAGATACAGGTCTTGAAGTTGATTTGTGGAAACATGATGCCATGGAGGAAAGGAATATGGTAAAAATTAATAAATCAATTAAGGACATCTGTCCACGTCCTACACGTTTATAGATCAATAGGCATTTCGGCGGGTGTTGTGATCAGCATTACACCAGTCGCCTTTACTTCATAGGAAATATCTATTACCCATTTAAAGCTGGGTCGAACTAGAAGCCAACGGTTTTTTTTTAAATGGTACATGTCGCGATAGGAGACCAACAATGACCCTCGATCTCGTGAAGCGCTTGTACTATGTCGGAGGGGTTTCAGGCGTAGTGAGTCGTACTTCACTCCTTGTCAGCGGCCGGCGATATCGCGTCTTCTATGCTGTGATTGCTTTAACTGTCCCAAAACATGTACAACTGGGCCCACCCCCATTATACTATAATTTATATTTCTTTATTAAATCCATAACATGCATTATTGATAACAGGTATTGGTACTCTGAAAAATGAGTACTTAGAA